CTTCAATTAGTATACTGTAATGTTTTCCAACCAGTCCTAGGGCTCCAACTACAACAGGGATTGTTGATGTTTCCATATGCCACATTTTTGAGATTTCTATTTCAAGGTCCTTGTATTTTGACAGCTTTTTAAATATCTTCAAAGATACATTGCAGTCAGCAGGGACTGCCATATCAATAAGGAGGCACGTTTTTTGTTTGTGCTCTTTAATAACAATATCTGGGCGGTTGGCCTTGATTGTTCTGTCAGTGTGTATTGTGTAGTCCCATAGAATTGCACAGGTCCTATCTCCGTAATCGGGTCTGGGTGGTGTTCATACCATTTTCTTTCCGTTTCCTTCCCGTAGAAGATTTTCCAGTGCCGATATTGGCCCACTCTGTCATGCCGGGTTTTATATTCAGTGGGTGCCAATATCGTGCAACCTGATACAAGATGATCAATCGTTTCTGAATATCTATCACAGAATCTGCATTTTGGGCTAACACAATATTTTAGTATATGAGCTTGATAATTCCTAGTTAGCAAGCATTGGTCCTGTGCAGCAAAGATAAAACCCTCAGTTTCAGCTTTCAACCCTGCACTACGTAGCCACTGATGGGTACGGGTTTTGTCTACGTCAGCTTGTTTGGTACGGGCAGGGTATTGGCCATGAAGCGGTTTATCTTGCCATCGCTTCTGTATCTGGTCGGTTGCATTTTTCTTTGCTGTCTTTTTTAATTATTATTATTATTATTATTATTATTATTATTATTATTATTATTATTATTATTATTTCTTTCAGTACAATACCTTACCCGAGACCAGTGGGAAGACATTTCAGTAAATATATGTATTCTGTTAACATATAATGTGGCTATATTATTATTATTATTATTATTATTATTATTATTATTATTATTATTATTATTATTGGGTGATATATTATTATAATTATGAGTACATATTACATATACTTACTTTTTTCACGACAGATTTCTGATGGTTGTCAGTGGAGATTGAGTGACAACAGCTGTCCTCATATCGCCACCATTTTTCTGTCCTCTGAAACCACAAGGCGGCACTTACTCATATTTTAAATTCTTCCATTTTCGCTTCTATTTCATATTTTATTTCATTTTAACACGATTTCAAGTGGACCAGTTGTTCATCTTCCTCGGCTGATAAATCACGTTTTCTTTGTTCATTAAAAAAAAAAGCAGATTCATTGTTCTTGCTTGGATACGAAAGTCGGTCTGGATCACAATATCGCGTCAATCATAGGGTCAATCTTTATCTTTCCTACATATCCTAATATCGTGTCAGTTGCTAAGTCTGCAGCTGCTATTAGGAAGGTTGGTTCGCTGTCATGCTAGACAATTTTTTCTTTGCAAAATTTGTCAAGCGCCTTTATAAGTGTACCATTTGTCCATACATAGAATTTTCCTGACACATATGATCTGGTACTTCTGATATATATCTAGAGATTCTTAACAAAATCTAGTCTACAGTATTATCGGTCCTGGCATCTCGGCGTCAATCACTGATTCGCTACCACAATCACTGATTCGCTGTGTCTTTTCTATAAATATGGCAATTGTTCTGATTCGACTTCATGAATTTAAGTGTAGTATTAGATTTGTAGCAAGGCGTCGACATTTTTCTGTTGAAATTGTTTAATGTAACGGTGATTATTATTTTAAAAGTTACTTCTCTCTCAGTTCTCGTCTGTAGAGCTCACTTCCGGGTTTTTGTTTTCCTGTCAACTACGATCTTCAGAAATGTTTAATGCCATGTCAAACGCCATCTTCTGTCTCCTTGAAACTATTCTTTTATAGTCCTTTCACTGTTAGTAAACCCTTGCGTTTTCGTGATTCTATCGCCTTGCTTGTGAGGAAGAGATTAAAGACGTAATCATCTTCACTTTTTGCCTCCACCTCCTCCTCCTTCCGTTCATAAAGTAAAACTCTTCGTTAAATGGCTTTTGGGCCGTTTAGTTGGTGAACAATTTATAAAAAATGTCATGGGTGCGTCTTCGAAACCATGAAACCTGGCGTTTTTTTTTTGTTTTTTTTTGGGGGGGGTTTTTAAACGAAATTTTATTCTATAAAAGACGGGTAGAATTTTTTTTTCTCCGGGTTTCCTAGTAGTTTTCCCTTAAAGCATGCTTGATTAACTTCCGTTGCCTGTTTCAAATAACAGATGGCGTTATTTTGATTCCACTGACGTCATAAAAGCCAAAGGCAATGGCCAAATTCCCCAGTTTATTTATCTCTCACGCTTTTGTCTTTGTCCTTAACCTTTCTTGTGGGGTGGGTGCCTGGCTCATTTTCGAAAGAGGCTTAATGAATAAATAATCATGTTAATTTGTGGCTTGTTCAAACCATACAGTTAGGTGCGACTATTGAGGACTGCATAAATGTTTCCACTTCCTTTGTGTGTTTAAGTCGTGTATGATTATTTTGCATTGCTTATTTTCAGATTGATTTCAATTGCGCAATAGAACTACTCAGAGTTGCAATTAAGACAACGATAGAAAATATAAACGTTCTAATTTCTATAACTTAGCTAAAGAAATTTCAGTCTTGTCATTTTCCCTCTTCAAACACCCACACTGATATATATATATATAATATATATATATATATATATATATATATATACTGCGTGCCAAATTATTATCGAGATAACGTTTTTTCTAATATTTCAAAAACCGTCCAATCAATTCCCACAAAATTTCCATACAATGTTGGCAAGACTGAGATGCGCAATCACTGAAATTTTTGTTCTGATCTGCGCAAGGTAAACAAACTGGCGCCATATTAGTTATCAGTACGGTGATTTGAGCATGCCAAATTATTAGAAAGGTTTAGTAAAATTCACAGAATTGAGCAAACAAAATGTTTATTAATGTTAAACGTGAATGTTTATGATCAAAAGAAGCTAATAAATAAGATAATCAAACAAATAATAACAGATACAAAGGCACAGTTTTAAACAAATTAATAGGGAATGTGCTTTCCCTGTTTTGAAATTACTTGAAGAAGTCGACGATCCATTGAATTTGTGAATTGTAGGATGTCATCTACTGTAATGCCGCGAGATATGTCAAGAATTGCTTCCCACAACTCAGCGTTGCTCCTGAATTGTCGTCCGTTAGCGTACAGTCTTCGCTTCATGATACTGCAAAGGTTTTCGATTCAGTTCAGGGTCTGTTGTTGCGTTATTTGAATTATTATATACTTATAATTTGATTGGCCATTACATCTTATGTAAATATATTCTCCTCCTAGGGGAGGTTGTGGTTGGTTTTGCACTCTTTAACATATTTTTATTTTACAATCAACACCATCGCTTGACAATGTACCAGATGCGTTGAAACAAAATGGCTATTTTTGTAGTGATGCTATAACATGCTCATGTTAATTTTTTTAAATAAATAATATTCCCTCTACTTTTGAGCACTTTTTTAAAAAATAGTGTTTTTGGTTACAGGAATTTTATTCCATCTATAGCAACATTGTATATTGTATTCGTGTGTATATATATATAGATATATGTGTGTGTGTGTGTGTGTGTGTGTGTGTGTGTGTGTGTGTGTGTGTGTGTGTGTGAAATATATAGAAAATAGGAAAGAACTCGTTAGGTAAATAATCCAAAGTTCTTTAGTATTTTTGTCATTATTTTTAAAAAATAGTGCTCGATACAAAGGTAGAGCATAAATATAATTATTTATTCAAAAATATGATTCCAACACGCTACATAAGAGTTCTCATGTTTCAAAACAAGAGTCGAAAACTTCAATATAATTATTTGAATTAGATTGAATTAAAGTAAGCTCTGTTCCATCTTCAAGCGAAATTTATTCCCCCAAAAAATCTTCAAGCGGAATTTATTCCAAAAAAAATTTCGCTTGAAGATGGAACAGAGCTTACTTTAATTCAATTTAATTCAAATAATTATATTGAAGTTTTCGGCCTTTTTTTTGAAACATGAGACCTCTTATGTAGCGTGTTGAAATCATATTTTAAATAAATAATTATATATATATATATATATATATATATATATATAATGTCAGCTAAATTTAAAAGAGAGTTTAATGCCAAAATCAGTAGAGCTTAATTGACTGAAACTATTTGAAGGTGAGCAATATGTGCGCCAACTGTAGAGAAAAACATTTTAAGTCACAAAAGGAAAATAATGGAGGGAACGCTCACAAATTTACTCTAATCAAATAATCGGTCAGGAATTAAATATTAAATATTAAAAGGGATTTGCACATAAATCTCAATGTTTTAATCAAACAGAGCAACATATTTTTATACAATAGGAATTAAGATAACATTAGGTTAATGATCATTTTCGCCTTGTAAATTGAAATAAAATTTCCAAGGATTTTTCAAACCAGTCAATGGATGATAAAATATTGAAATAATTTTTTTTCATTTCAATATTTTATCATCCATTGACTAGTTTGAAAAACTCTTATATATATATATTCGACGTATGAGGGTCAAGCAGATCAGTTTCCAGGAAACCGACAGCCCGACACCGGCGCATGAGATTTGATTATAGGGGTGAAGGCTTCGTGCAGGACCATCCACACTTTTTGAAGGGACGAATACAGAGACCTGGTGCACCGAGTGCCACAAGGTTCCCAAACGACCCTTCGCAGGTTTTGAATTCAGAGTTGTCCTTCTCCTAGACCAGTTGCCATCCAAGGCTATAGAACCCAGTCTGTCATGCTATTTTACCCATAGCTGGAGGGAGAGTAAGAGGATTCATATATATATATATATATATATATATATATATATATATATATATATATATATATATATATATAATGGGTGCAAATTTCATGAAAAAAAACACCGAATGTTCCATTTTGATTACTTTTTTATTTGTCCTTTCGACACTTCTAATAATTTTTCTTATTTTTAGTTTGAATTGCAATATGAAAATGCCCATATATAACACCGCTAATCGAAAGTACTCAGATATGAGTTAGACATGTCGATATGGAGTTTATAAAATGTATAATTTTGTTTTTGAAGGAATTCGGAGAAACCATTGGAAGCATAGTGGATCCAGCAGTCGTTCCAGTTTGGAGAAATGCGAATCCGGTAATTATATACTTAGTTATTTAATTTAAATATATCCCCTCGCATAGACACATAAAATTATTTTTTAAGCGACAACATTTCTTATTATTAGAAACGTTATTTTCAGATGATACATATGTTTAAGTTGATTTCCCTGTTTTAATTTTATTAAATAGTGAAATTAATAAGAATCAGCCTAAGGTGAGATGTCACACTAAAGAAAAATTGGGCCTCCGACATGACTCAAAGCTACAACCATTTTTTACTTCATGGAAACCACTTCTTAAGCCAAGGTGTGTCTTTAGTAGTTCGGTCACAAAGCCAGCCTATTAGGGCAAAGTTAGAATTGCCCGTTAAGGAAATGACGTTGAGGCTTCTATGAATCTAAAACTGCTTGCTTCAGCTTCGTATCCGAAACGTAAACAATAATTTTTAAAGTGATTTTTTATTCGTCATTACTTCTTATAAACGTTATTTTTAGTGGGTAAAAACAAAATAGGATCAAAAATCATTTCATGAATTCACACACACACACACACACATGCACGTACACACACGCACACGCATATATGCATATATTTAGGCAGTATATCTTCATTTAAACATGTTTCATTTACATTATTTACATTATTCGGACTATTGTCCTCATCTTTGTCGTCACAACGTTTCGGCCGTTGTACGCTCCGGCCTTCTTCAGGTGGTTGGAATGTCGAACCGAACCCTTTATTTCTCTCACTGAGGTAGACTGTTCTAGTTCCACGTGCCACGTTTAATGGATGTCAGTTATCAGTTATCTCCTGTTAATTTTCCCTCAGAATGTTCTCCACTGCCTTAGCCTCTTTGGGTTATGTCAGTGGATCTACCCAACGCTTTTATCCACTGTGCCATGTGTCCTCAAGGCATGGCACAGTGGATAAAGGAGGGAAAATTAACAGGAGATAACTGATAACTGACATCCATTAAACGTGGCACGTGGAACTAGAACAGTCTACCCCAGTGAGAGAAATAAAGGGTTCAGTTCGACATTCCAACCACCTGAAGAAGGCCGGAGCGTACAACGGCCGAAATGTTGTGATAAATATGGCAAAGATGAGGATAGTAGTCCGAATAATGTAAATAATGTACATAATACCTCATCTCAGAAATATAGATATATGTTTCATTTAATAATATAAACATAATGTGCATATATCCTTTTCACTTCTCTAATCAGTTTCTTGATATTAATGCGAAAAGCATTAAGGAAGACGTCGTAGATTTTCTAATCGAAGTACTTTCAATCTTTTCCAACATCATCTTCAGGAATAAATTACAAAGACAAACTGCGATAAAATCTGAATTCAGTTGTGATGGTGATTTTTAAAAAACACGTGCGAACGCGTTCTGTTGTAGTTATATTATATTGTTAAATTTATCCATTGTAGTTATGGAACATTTTACAATACAAACGTTTCACTATAAGGGAGCTGATCGAAACTTGGTAGAAATGCAAAATGGCATTTAATGTTTTTTTTTTATATACACTGCAATACGTTGCTGCTATATTCGTAGTAAATATTATATTAACTACATCCGATTACAATTCGACATTACAGAAAATAATCGACAATCATAGCAAATTTTAAAAAGTCAACAAGAACCCTATTAACCAAATTAAATTATAAATTAATAAAATGAGCAGAGCCATCAATACTGAACAAGAGAACTTCATAAGGACAATTTATTTTTAACATCGAGAAATTGATTAGAGAACTAGAAAGGATCAGTATAAAAATAGACACACTATGTCTATATTATATAACAAAGCAAATATATATATATATATATATATATATATATATATATATATATAGTACATAATAGATCCGTTGGTATATAATCCAGGTAGAACCTAGTAATAACAAATATTAAAATTGATCCACAGAGAGCTTTATTATCACAGAGCATATATATTCACGGAAAAAAAATTACCTCAGTATGAGTATAGTCTATTTCGGGCTGATTTGCTAGACCAGCCTGAAATAGACTATACTCATGCTGAGGTAGTTTGTTTTTTGTTTGATTTTTTTCCATAATATATATATATATATATATATATATATATATATATATATATATATATGTGTGTGTGTGTGTGTGTGTGTGTGTGTGTGTGTGTGTGTGTGTGTGTTGTGTGTGTTAATTTTAAAAAATAACGGAGCGCATTCTTTAAAAAGTACCCTTTCCCCAACAACAATTCTTCAGACAGTTTCACTGTTTATGATTATTTTTATTTTTTTTTGTATTTTGTATTTTTTTTTACAGCATATCTTTTTTAAAAGAGGTGTTGGACGAAAAGGGTTACTTTTAAACAATACATAAATTCTGTGGTATGCTTGTTCTTATATATATATATATTTATATATATATATATGTGTGTGTGTTATATATATATATATATATATATATATATATATATATATATATATATATATATATATATAATTATCTATGGGAGTGGTGCGAGAAGGGCTGTATTGGAGGAACGACAGAGTGGCTTCTGTCCTTGAATAATGAGTCATCACTGATGGATTGCAGTCAGCAAGAAAGTTCAACGTTTTGACAAAATCGTGTACCAGAGGCTGAAGCAAAAAAGCTATTTATATTCATATTCACATTTGCGATTAATTTTACGTTTTTTACTAAAATCTAATTACTCAGTTTATAGTTGCCTTTCTGCTGTGTTAAAAGCTTATTTGTTAAGTCCATTTTTTTTTCACCCGAACCAATCTATGTCAGGTTACTCTACGAGTTCTACTGGTATTATGTAACCCAATAAAGCCTGTCGCCTGGCCTAGTATCGGTGACTACACTGGTTCTCCAGCCACTCTTTTCTGGTGAGTAGGATGGCTCAACACCCAGCAGAATTAAATACGAGACCTGTAAAATGGCGAATGGATCTTCTTGTATGGACAATTGTCATCTCACACTATGGAACAGATCGGGGACCATAGCTACGGATGCGGCCATTGCTTGATATGCGCTATCATTGTTAGACGGAGGATTTCCTAGACTGAAGTCAACTACCAGGGAGGAGGGTGCCCCTAACACCGATGGAAACAAAGGCCAAGCATCCGTGATCGTCAATTTGGAGGCAAACGACTGTGGTTTGACCTGGACAGGGATGGGCACCGTTAGATACGTTAAGCTGAACGAATACATCTCCAGTTTTCAACTAAGATAATTCGTTGGGAAATGGTCAGGTGTTCAGCTGTGCTTAAACCCTACGACCACAACTGGTAACTGAACTGATGATGATGATGAATTTCAATTTTGATGCTACAGCTTTAATAGGTGCGACAATTGATAAAATATTTCCAGGTCGTGTGGGATATTGGAACAAAAAAGATTAGGAAACCCTGGTCTAAAGATTTACCGGATGAGCTGATAAAATATGTGCAGCTGACTTTTATCAGTATAAAGAAGTACGGGCATTTTTTCTTGAATTCTATGCCAAATACGTCCAAAGAGTAAATATCAAGATTTATGGCATGTTTTCATTCAGGCGCCATTTTTTTTTTAAATATTGTTATTTGCCCCTGTCTTCATTTTTTTTGCTCTTTGCAGACAATGGTTAGTGAAAAAATGTCTTCTATTCTGGCGAACTCAGAAAAATTGGCTGGAAACGTGTTTCGACGCCGGGATATGGCAGACACAAAAAGCTTTTCTATGTCTTCCACCAACGTTGGTAAGTAGAACAACGTCCCTGTCTTAAGTTAATTTCATGCTTCCAGTAATGGCCCTATTCTGTTTGAAATATTTACGTTTATTTCTGAGATCTAAAACAAGCTCCCTTTCTTTTCCTTTCTTACAATATATAGTAAACCATTAGAAACCCACAATCACACACACACATATATATATATATATATATATATATATATATATATATATATAAGTGTGTGTGTGTGTGTGTGTGTGTGTGTGTGTGTGTGTGTGTGTTTTAATAGGCCGGTTAATGAAATTTGAGAAATAAAAAGACCAGAAAGTGATAAAAGTATTAGCAATAAAATTGATGTTATTTATGTATTAGCCTTTTGACTAAATTGAAGAACGAAGAGAAAGATTTAAAAGTCGGAATTTTCGGACAAGCCTGTGTTCTTTTTCAACGAGTAGAGGAATAATAATAAAAAGTGGAACTTACTCTTCTGAGGAACAATGGTTGGTTAGAGGTCTCTCTGTGGAAAGGATAAACTCTGAGTAAACCCCAAAGTCTGTTTAATCCTTCAATGTATGATTTATTGTTTTAAAAAAAAAATGTATATTTGGGCAGCAAACTTTCGTTTCGTTTCGTTAAATATGACAGACAAGGAAAATTTGATTAATTTTTTATTTAGTTTCTTAGCCTTACACTTTTCGTTTTTCTTACATGTTTTGCTTTTCCTTACTCCCACCAAACGGAAAAAAATATAAGGATGTTGGAAAAATTAAATAAAACATTAATCAAATTTTCTTTATCTGTCATATTCTGCGAAACACAAACACACACACACACACATATATATATATATATATATATATATATATATATATACATAGGCTGCGATGGGTAAATTGTTCGTATTTGGCAGGAGCTGGGGTACAGTCTTGACGTGTGTCGTGTCACAGGTGGTGCGCATATTGAACATTTGTGAAATCGATTAGAAAATCTACACCCCCTTCGAATTTTGATAAATATATCTTTTATTATTCAGCTTGAAGCCTATCTACTTTCGTTCGGCTGGGACATGTTGTCACTCATATATTCACATTTTAAATGATGTCAATTTAATGGGGGACACCATATATATATATATATATATATATATATATATATATATATATATATATAATGAGAACGAAAATAATATAAATTCTAACGTTCACAGCATTAATTCAAAAGAAGGCTCAATACCAAGACTAGAGCAATAATTATTTATTATAGATTTTTTACATGAGAAAAAAAAAACAATTACTCACTAGAAAGATGCCTTCTTGTTTCGATGCATTATGTGCATCTCGACTGGTGAGAATTTTTGGTGCTCACCAGTCGGAATGCACATAATGCATCAAAAAAATGCATTTTCTAGTGAGTAATAGGTTTTTGTCCGCATGTAAAAATCTATAATACATATGATAGGAATAATTAGGAGGATTTGAAATAACCATAATTAAGTAATCTATCGAATCAATAACAATTCTCAACAGAGTGCGGAAAGCACTGGACGACCGCTTCGTCCTATTTTGGGGACACATCAGCAGTGTGCATCCACTACGGAGAATCGAACCCGGATCTTAAGGATACGATGAAAGCGTCATACCTACTGTATCAACTGGCCTCGATGACGAAAGGGTAACTGATTAGACTCGATATAGCACCGCTCTTCATAAATTCCGTGGTGTAACTCATCCGATTTTCCCTAACCCAAAAGACTGTCCCTAACCTAACGGAATATATATATATATATATATATATATATATATATATATATATATATATAGTAATATTAGCAGTTTCCCTATACATTTGGCATTCACTGACCGATCAGCCAGTAATGCTTTCGATTGAAATTTTAAAAATCTTACTTTTAAATCCATTTTACAGGAATATAAGTTTCTCAAGTCCAGTAGCTGTTATTGCTATTTCCCTTACTGATAAGGGTTTCCTTCCTAACATTTTATTTCAAGTAGTGTGGAAAATGAATATCTTGACTGTATCATTATTTTCTCTTCCAGTTACATGTGATATCCATTTTAATTGTTGCCGCTATTGGAAGTCCTCATGTGATGTGGCTTCTGTTTTTGGTATAGTTCTTTGTGATTCTGTAGCACCAGTTCACAATGTTCAAAGAAGGATGGTCGTTGCCAAGGCACCACTCGCTCAATGCCTTTATCTATCTATCTATCTATCTATCTATCTATATATATATATATATATATATATATATATATATAAAAGTGAACATTAAAGTCAACACTTAGAGGCGACAGGTGGCCTGATGATTGCGTCTAGCATGAAACAGACCGTCGCCTCTATGTATTGACTTTAATGTTCACTTTTATATTTACACACGCTCTATCTCTGATATTGAGCACATTATCCCATAAATATAGCACACCTTAAGACTGTATTTCTTTATTATATATATATATATATATATGAAACCATCATGCAAGGGACCTTTGAAAGTGGACGTAGGGGAGAACGCCAACGCAAAACTAGTTGCACAATGTCAAACAACGGGCAAGTATAATGCTAGAATGCCTGTCGTTGATAGGCCATTGTGGAGGTTATTCAGCGTGGAATCTGTATTCGGACCCCTCCCTTATGGTTACAAGGGATAAAGATTATATATATATATATATATATATATATATATATATATATATATATATATATATATTGTGACTCAACGAACACTCGTTGCCACTTTTGTGATGTCAACGAATACTCTTTGTCAATTTTGTATTGCTCGTTTTAGTAGAGACTTTGTGATCGCAGATACAACTATATAAACCCCGTTGAACAATACTGGTTCAGATGCCTTCGAATAGCACTCACACTACTAGCATTTGCTCGATAATAATCGCTCGAAAAGTAATCCGTGTAGTGATCCAAATAGAGAAATAGTATAGTGAATAGAGTAGAGAATAGCGGTCTATATTAATAGAGGATAGATCAGATATAGCGATCCGAATAGTAATAGAAGATAGAGTAGAAATAGTGATCCGAATAGTAATGGAGGATAGAGTAGAAATAGTGATCCGAATAGTAATAGAGGATAGAGTAGAAATAGAGATCCGAATAGTAATGGAGGATAGAGTAGAAATAGTGATCCGAATAGTAATGGAGGATAGAGTAGAAATAGTGATCCGAATAGTAATGGAGGATAGAGTAGAAATAGTGATCCGAATAGTAATAGAAGATAGAGTAGAAATAGTGATCCGAATAGTAACAGAAGATAGAGTAGAAATAGAGATCCGAATAGTAATAGAGGATAGAGTAGAAATAGTGATCCGAATAGTAATAGAAGATAGAGTAGAAATAGAGATCTGAATATTAATAGAGGATAGACTAGAATGGCGATGCTTATAGTCATCACGCAACTTCCTACTTATGCGTATCCTTTATGGTCACGTTGTCTACTTAATTCAATACTGAAATCGCCTGTGCTTGCTCACTGGACTGGTGATCTATGCCCAAACTCAAATGTTGGCAACGATGTATATATATATATATATATATATATATATTCATGAATTATTCACACAAAAACAAAAGCAAAGGTTAATGATTTAATTGGCGAGAAATCCATCATCGCAAACAATTCAAATAATATACAAAAACCTCCGAATCCGTTATGAATGAATTGATCCTTGTTTCCATAAATTTCTGCCGTATTAGTTCTTATTTTTACTACAAGCTTTCGTCTGTTCCTACAGACATCTTCAGGTATAGAATAGATGTTGTTCTTGTTTTTCTCTTAGTAATAAGAGGACAACGAAAATATATGTATTGTTGTATCCGAAAATGCTATTGAAAATGAGTTATTGTTTTTGGAGCGCGCCAGTAGCAACGCTGAGTTTGATTTTAAATTTTTAAAGGTTGTGCGTTCATATAAATATGGTGATGAACGAATTTTTTTTTACTGGTAAATTTTCTGTCAAAGTGGCATGAACTATATTGTTCAATAATTACAGTAATTATATATATACTCATCCTAATCTGGCATAAATCCTTGCATTAATTTCTGAAACCTTACAATATCTTAGCGTTTATATTTTCGTACATCACGGCCAAACGTAAAGTCCTAAAGATGCGCTAATAATATCGGTTATATGATTTTCACATCGGAGGTCATTAAGTGGTCATCAGAAGCTATGAACGTTCACACTATACCGTTTTTAGCCAAATGAACTGATTTTTGAAGAAATGAAAAAGCTTGTTGCATTTCCCATGAAATACAAAAGACGATTCGAACGCTTAATCTTCGGGTTGATAAAATTAAATTTACCATTATTCACTAATATTTAATAAGTCTTGAAATAAATTGTTGAAATATGTTGCTTCCTTCAATTTTGGTATTTCGCAGTAACACATTCTATTTTATTCATCTCTTTAGATTTCACAGTCACTTGCCTAGACGAGATGTCACCCAATAAATATTCCAGGAGTACCGATTCCAGTAGAGTATCTTTACCAAAAGAAGTCTTCGAGATAAGCAGAAAAGAAAGCTATGGTATGTAACAATTCATTTCTTTCCTAGTCACCAATATTCATAATTCAGTACAGAATTATTTTGATTGAGTCGATTGTTTTACAACCTAATTCTTAAAGGACAATATCCGACACTTGATGTGCAGTCTTTTAACACATTGGAATTTTGATAATTTTACAGACAAATTTAGAGTAACTTCGTACGTTGGAAGTGACTATTAAACTATTTCGAAGAATAGGAGTTATATTTAGTCATCAAAGAAATTTCTTTTTTTTTATTTACTTTTTGTTTCATCTTCCCAAATGATAGATTCCTTTTTAAAGTAGTTGGAAAAAATGATGATATCATACAATTTTCCCTCAAACACCATCTCTCTACTGGACTCAGAAGAGACGCGTCAGCTGCAAAGGATCTACGGTTTGTTTGTTTGTTTTTTCAGTAGTCACTTAAAAAAAAATATACACATCGCATCGTATGCTGTATTAGTGAGTAAGAAAATAAAAAGGAGTATAAACTGATATCTAGCGATATTTTGTGGCAACAACCTAAATCACAAAAGAAAAGTGTCTCGGGTTAAGATGTTCGTCATTTCCTGTTGCATTTACCGCAGCTTAATTTCCTGTTTTTAGACATTATCTAAGTAAAACATGACGCTTTAAGGCATTAGACATGAAAGATTATTCCCCGATCTTTGAGTGCTTATGGCTGGTCTGCATTTATAAGATTAAGTATTTCCATTATTCCATAGATTATTCAAAACAGAAACCAAATTTGAGGTTCGACCTTATTTTCTGCATCTTAAAACCTTCCTCTCCACAATATTGCCAGAAATTCTATGATGATTTACAGCCTTTATTCCATAGATCATTTGAAACAGAATCCTCAAATTTGATGTTCGACCTCGTTTCTTACGGCGTAACACTTAACTCCACACAATATTGCAAAAACTTTTCGGGTGATTTATTGCCATTATTCCATGGATTATTCAAAGTCGTATCCTCCGAGTTGTTCTTTCCGAACTCCTACACGTTTATGCCGTAATCAGTAATTTTTTACTTCCCTCCTTCGCCAGCCTGAGCTATCATTTCCTTTAGAATAGATCGGAATGACAAAACTTAATCCATCGCTCATTATTAAAGCCGAATATATCAAAACTATACAGGCTTAAATCTTCAATATGCCATCTGTTATTTGGCAAAGATACTGTTTTAGAAGCGCCTATCATATATATATATATATATATATATATATATATATATATATATATATATGTATATATTAATTTATATAAAAACAGACCACTTTAAGGTTCCATGTAATAAACTATTTCACCACGACCCTTTTAAAGGACTGCGGATCATCAGACTTTACTTCCAAAGGTTGAAACGAAAAATGAAAAGAAGTAAAGTCTGATGATCCGCAGTCCTTTAAAAGGGTCGTGGTGAAATAGTTTATTACATGGAACCTAAAAGTGGTCTGTTTTTATTTAAATTATTTGCTCTGGATTTACATTGAGCTCTCTGGATTTTATCCTCCTTGGGTCTACCCATACGGATTACCTAGTTTTCCATAAACTAACTAACTAACTAACTAAACTAACTATATATATATATATATATATATATATATATATATATATATATATATATATACACACAAATGAGAGAAACAACAGATGGAGTAAAATTCCACTGTTCGAAGCATTTACTTTTTAAAAAGTGCTCAATACAAAGTAGAGCAATGTCTTATTGTTTTTATAAGAGATCATAATAAAACATGTTGATATCGATACACAAAAGCTTTCATGTTTCAATACTCTTATTGTACTTCTTCAGGCAATGGTAAGTAACTGGTGATAAAATGATTATTAAGAAAATTTTTAAAAATATTACTTCTTTTCCGAAGGTTAAGTGGGGATATAATGTCAGAATTATAAATAGACTTGTGGGTATGTCTTGATTAACCAATTGAATGTCAGATTTGCGCTAAATAGAAAAGTAAGCTAAGAGGGTGGAGACGGATGAGTTATTTTTTCATGCCATTATAAACCGGAACATAGACAGACCATCATTGATAATTGCGGAAAATATGTCAGCACCAAATGTAGATTGTAGACAAATATGACATGTTCAATTCTTTGAAAGGGCTTTGAAGAGAGGAGTAGGTTAATCAGATGTAAAGTTAACAGATTTTTTTTTTAATTTTACAATTAGGAAGCTTCTTAAAGGGGACTAAATAAAATTAAAAATGTGGAACGTCTATATAAGACAGTAATAATACTAACTGAACGACAATTCATAGTAATATTAAAGCTGAATAAACAAAATAATGTAATTACCCGTAGAGGGTGGACCATTATATACTAATAAATTATGACTATAAGAAATGGTAAAACATAATTTTTAAATTTAACAATATTTTAAGATAAACTGTGTCGGCAATTTACAGTTAATTCGCTTCTTTCGTTTAATAGGGATTTTTGTCACCAAATTTGATAATTTCTAATTTTTCATGTAAAGATAAGAAGCGAGGTTCATTTAAAGATGTACAAGTTCTATTTTTCTTTCTTTCTTTTTTTTTTTTTTGTATTTTCTATTTTACCGTAGGAGTTTTATTAACTTCTTTTAAGTTCCAAAAATATTTAGAAAGGGACGTCCTATTTCTATACGCCTTATTGGTGAGATATGTTGGCACCACCTTGTTTTAAAGGAATTCATGGTACTCCCGATATAAAATCTTTTAACTATTGGATTTTCTCTAGTAGAAATAGTTTTTTGGTAAACAAGAGAGCCTGTTTGACATCGGTTTTACAATGAACAATCGTTATATATATATATATATATATATATATATATATGTGTGTGTGTGTGTGTGTGTGTTTAAGCTGCTGCATATCTTCATACAAGCATGTTTCTTTGAATAATATAGTCACATTGTGTCTACTTATTTTTATACTGATCGTTTCCTGTCGTCTCGTCAGTTTCTTTATGTTAAGATGGAATTCATCAAGGAAGGCGCTATAGTTTCTTTTTTTTTAACTCAAGTACTTACGACCTTTAAAAAGTTCATCTTCAAATTAAAAGGCAAATATATTGTAACTGCGATAAAATTTGCATTCCGTGTCATAGTGATTTTTAAAAAACAAACGCGAACGCTCTTTGTTATAAGTTATTTTAGAATTTTTAAATGTATCCATTTTAGTTACGGAAATTTTAAAATCCCTACCTGTTTTGATTTTTGTTTTTTTCCTAACAATCGCCTGTATTGCGTGTCCGTCCAGAACCTGGTCTACGATTGTAGAAATGCTCATTTGTTTATTGTCACTCACATTGAAGCTCCACCCATTCCTTATGTCTACCACGTGGAGAAATGGCCATCCAGCGACTCGAAGGGTTTAAATTCAACCCCTCTCAAACGGGAGTTGCGTTTCTGTATCATTACACCTACTTGTATGAGACACGTTACCACACTGCCATTTATTGCAGTATGTGTCACCGTCTTTCAAGCTTTGACTCAGTTTGTAATCTGTTAAGTTACTACGTCACAAGTTGATCAGCGACTGAGATATCTATAACCCACTAGAACGAAAATACATTTACCCAGATTGAAGCTGGCTTATGGCCATATAATGGATAACACTGCATAATAATAAAGATGAGGAATTGGAAAGCCGGGTTTCAAATCCTGTCGAGTTAATTATATTCACTTACCCTTAGGAAATGTATAGACCCACCTGTTCTCCCCCAGCCATGAGTTAATTAGTAAACTTATATCAGTTAATCATTATTATCTCCAGTAAATTCTTAAATTCTAAAAATATTTCTAGCTTTAAATAACCTACAAGACATTGATAAATCGTAAAAACATCAAAATCTGATATCGTTCTTCTGGGTGTCGCATTTTATTACTTCATTCAGTGTATATTATTTTTCAGCAAAGGCATATCATTCAGTGTATATTATTTTCCAGCAAAGGCATATCATTCATTATATGTTATTTTTCAGCAAAGGCATATCATTCAGTGTATATTATTTTTCAGCAAAGGCATATCATTCAGTGTATATTATTTTCCAGCAAAGGCATATCATTCATTATATATTATTTTTCAGCAAAGGCATATCATTCAGTGTATATTATTTTTCAGCAAAGGCATATCATTCAGTATATATTATTTTTCAGCAAAGGCATATCATTCAGTGTATATTATTTTCCAGCAAAGGCATATCATTCAGTGTATATTATTTTTCAGCAAAGGCATATAGCCCCTATATCGCATTCACCACCTTCTAGCGCAGTTCACTATGTTGTTTGATTGCTAGTTCCATCTTTTATACAGTCTGAGTGAAATCTTAGAATTGCAATTAGCATTCACTTTTTATATTCTTTATTGCTTCTTGAATTAATCAAGTTTGAGAATATTCAGAATCTAAGAAAGCGTGTTTCACATTAAGTTACTGAAGTGAATAATGGTAAATATTTAACAGATATTTAGCGGCAATATAGAACCTTCGTGCCCACAAAAACGAAGTGTCAAAAGAACGGCTTTTCCCTTGACATCGCTATTATTTTCATTAACTTCACGCCTCGGCAATGTTTATTGTTTTAAAAAAAGATGATTTGTATTGTAATAAATTGTAAACACATGATGAAAATGAATTTATACATATTCTTTGTTCTTGAGAATTGACAAAAAATATTAAACACTATTTGTTTATTAGATTGTTTATTTACACTATTAATTGTTTATTGGAATAGATGGTAAAACATCGACCAATTGCAAATAGCTACAATCTACACAAATGTAAAGCCAGCGTCAGTCGCGATCTTCTGTCTTCTTGGGCCCTGCTCTTTTTCTTTTTGTCCTTTCCTCAATCCTCACCATTCTCAGTCTACTCATTCTCTTTCACTTTCGCTCTCTTAACCCCCACCCACTCACGCATTCTAGTGGCATTATCGCCTCTCTTGGGGTGAAACGATTAGAATATATATATATATATATATATATATATATGGAGTTAGTT